AGGGGAAAGCCAGTCTCAAGTTTCTTTGTCTCCTCCTCGTCTCTACAAAACAAAGTCCCTCCTCCCCTGCCTGGGTCTGGCTCAGGGCAGGTTTGGCACCGGGTTTGCCAGCAAAAGGGCTTTGGCTCGGTTTCAGCTTCCCCCCTCTTCTGTCCTCTGCCTAGTGTTGGCTCGGGAAAGAAAAAAAAAATCTCCTGGGGCTGCTCTAGGAAAGTCAGCTGAGTCTTCTCAAGAGACGGAGCGGCCGGAGCTGTGAGGAGGTCAGAGAGAAACAGAGGGGAGGGGGGGAACAATACTCGATAAAATCAGGAGGAGGAGCAGCAGGAGCAGCCTGTTCTTTCCCCGCAGCGGGTCGGACACACGCAGGCAGCTGTTGCGAGTGCAACCGTGCTCTTAACCCCAAGAGACGGGGGGGGGGTTTATTACCAAATAACGCTGCTGCCACAAATCACAGGGTAAGGAGGGGTAAAACAGCCTTCTGGAGGAGCCAATTGGACCGGGGGTTGTTCTCCTTGTCCCACCTTCCTGCTCAGAAATCCCACCCTGTGCGGGGAGGGAGCAAACTCGGAATTTCGTCCCTTGTTTCACAACTGGATGGGGAGGTTTGTTTTTTTTTGTCCCCGTTGACTGCTCGCAGAGAAGGCGAAGGAGGAGAGGGGTTGAGGAGCAGCTAAAAAAAAACCAAAAAAAGCAGCAGGAGGCAGCAGCACCGGGCAGCTGGTGGGGTTTTTAGCTCAGTTTCACACGAGTGAAAGCTGATAAAAGGAGTTCTCTGCAGGGCAACGATGCTGCTTCCAAAATGACAGTGGGTGATGGGGCGGCCCCGGGTCCGGGAACCAACAAAGACACCACATGAAGACAATTACACATGCAGAACAGATTTCACGGCAGGAGAGAAACACAGACCACATTTCTCAGGCATTAACACACTGAGGACACTCTAGGAAGGGTCCAGCACTTGGAACAGCAGCCACAGGACAAGGCTGATGGAGCCACATCAGGAAAAACAAGCAGTGTGACGGATTCTCCACCAGGATCCTCTGGATTTCACTGAATGCTCCTACACAAAGCTGTGTTTTCAGCTGAGAAAAGGGGCACAGAATTTAAAACTCCAGGGCAGTGGCTGGAATTCAGCTGTGTGCTGTCAGGAATAAAAAAAAAAAAAAAAAAAGTCTCTAAATCAGCCTGACACAGCTTTAGTTTTCTTTGTTCAACAGCCTGAACCTTTAAAAAATATTAGCTTCAGGTTAGAAAATATTTGTCAACCCAAATGAAAATAGTTATTCTTGCACGGGCTGCCTCGGTTTTGTTTGAAAATAAACTTCGCAGGAACCCTGAACATCAGAAACTGCCATGAAACAGTGTCAGAAAGGGATGATTTATAACAGCAGGAAATAAGGGGGAAGGAAATATTTCACTAATATGATGGGGGGAGGTGTTAAATCCTCAATTGCTGTTATTTAATTTCTGTACTGTCCCCTTTTTGCTTTGCTCATTCTGAAAGTTAAGAGCTTGAGGAACTCTCCAGGTTTGGAGAGCCCTTTGGAGACTATCAACATTTTTTTCTGTGTATTAATGAGTTTGAGCTCCTGGGGAATCTTTTCTCAGCTACACAGGATTCTCACTCAATCACAGAAATAAGTATAAATAAGGGTCAAAGTTTGCAAACTTTGGCAGAGTTCCTCTGGTCATGAATTGCACAGGACATTGCAAACCCTCAGAATCCCCCTGGATATTACCTAATTAATCAGCAAGAGACTCACCCTACACTGCTCTGGGCCAGAGGAGCATTTGGAAATCACTTTTTTTTGTGCAAGGAAAAGGTTGCATAAAAACACAAGTCCGTGTCACAAATCTGCTTTTAGTTGCCAGCACCAATTCCTCACCCTCATCCTCACTGAACACTAATTGAATTCACCTCCAGCCAGGGATCATTTCCCACCCCTTTCATAGATACAACTGAAATAATTCTCTCAAGCCATGAACAAGCACTATTTCTGTACAAATCACTGCTTCCATGAGAACTGTGTGTTGCCAGAGCCTTGTTTAATGACTGCTCCCGTGGTTTAATGGTCCATCTAATGGTGGATTTATTCCAGCAACAAATGGTTGTCAATGCTTTATGTTGATCAACAGCCTCTCTGCCTTTCTCCTCATCAAATATTCCGGGTTTTCCAGTGTTCTCTGAAGAGGACTCAACAAATTAAACAATGAAGGGAGAAAGCAGCAAGTATTGACTAACAGTTCCTACTTGGGGGCCCTACAGCTCTTGTCCCTTTAAATCCTGCCCTACCAACCAGCAGTTGAACAGTCCAGCCCGTTTTATTTTGGCTGTGTGACACCAGATACCTGCAGGTGTTGTTTTGTGGAGCCCAAGGACTGTGTTACAAGGCAGATGACAAATTTCACAGGCTGCAGGGCAAGAAATACCAGCGGCAGTGTACTATAAAGTGAGGTGGAAGCTCCAGCTCTCCCCAGTTCTTCCCTGCTGGGTGCAATATCTCAATTAAAACTCCAGTCAGTGGGAAATCAGCGTTTGGATAAATTGCATCAAGAGCTCTCTGGCACAGGACTGGAATATATCTGTTATTTGGTCAATAATGAATTTAGATACTCACAGTGTAAGGCACAGCCCACACACCTGAGAAGTGAATTACAGGTCACCCTCCCCAAAAACCAGGGGCAGGAATTCTCAGTTCCTACTGGGATCTCAGCACTGCCATCACCAACCCTGTGGAAAGTGTGGGACATGTATCCAAGCTCTGCTATGAGATATTATTCCACAAAACTTGTGGAAGAAATGTTTTATCACATCTCCAATATTTATATATTTTATCACATATGAGTTGCTCCCCATTTTTAGAATACTTTGAGAGGTGGAAAAATGGCTGATTCCAACAGGGCTTTCTGCTTAGAGGTCAATCTATATAGATATTCTATTGATATTTATGTAGAGAATATCTATAGAGATATATTTACATAGATATTTTTAGAAGGTACCAGCTATAGATTAATGCCTATTTTGTGCCTTCCCTTTCAAAAGAAATAATTCCCATGTCAGCAATAACCATTAAAGACTTGAACCCATGAATTATTACTGGGCATCTCAATTCTGGCCTCACACCACAGCAGCAGTCCCCAGATGCTTCAGACACCATCCAGAATTCCAGAAATTGTCAAATATGATTCCAGGAGCACAGCACATGATGTGTCTTCTCCAGGATTAGGTCAGTGCTTTCACAGTTAATTTCTCCAGGCGCTGTTCTGTCTCCAAATTCAAGGGGACAGTGGAGCCAAAGATAGCAAGCAATACAAATTAAATCAATGTCATGCCTTGGCAACAACAATCCATCAGAAGGCAGCAACAGGGCAGAGGTTCCAGGACCTGCTCCTCTGATGGAGTTCTCTTTAAAATGCAGAGCTGAAGTGAATTATTTGGCACTGCCTGTTTACACTGAGCAAGACCTCTCACTTGAGCATCAGAAAGAGAAGCTCAGTTCTCCTCCTAAAAGTAGTGGAGGGGTTCTGGGATCAATTAATGATGAATGCAATTGGTTTGCAGTGTATATGGAGGAATTCCTTGGAATCCCTCTACCTGCACAGCACCTACCCAGTGGGTCATGGCTCACAACACACCAAGCACAGGAGAACAAGGCTGGGAGTACAAAAGGTCTCTGAACAGTACATTGTTCACTCTGCAGCTCAAACACCTCCTCCACTGGCTCAGCCCAGACAGGCTCGCTGTGGGGAAGAAAAAGATTCTCAAGCCTTATTCTGCAAATAAAACCCACCTAAACTATCTCCCCAAGAGCCACTAAAAAATGCAGAGAGAAAGAAAAGTTCCTTTCCTATGATTGCTACGCTCGTTCTACAATAAGCATATAAAAATTGCTCTATAAATAGCACTCCTGTCCATCACCTCAGCTATCCACAACTGCAGCAGCAAAGCTGCTGGGGCCTGTTCCTTCAATTTAGGCGGATGCCTGAGGACAGCTGTCAGTTTTCCTCATGATCTCTCAAAGAGCCTTCCGAAAAATCCTTCCTGGCCAACTGCGAAACGTCTCCTCCAGCTGCCTTTGCCATTCATTCACACTTGTGATCCTGCACTTGCTGGGGTGGAAACGAAGCCAAGTGCAGCTCTCCACCCCCAGCACACATTCAGTGTGCACACGCAGACAAATCACTCTCCATCAGTGTTTATCACGTGCCCTAAATGTGCTTGTTTGAGGCATAAAATTGGCACAGGCTGTAAAGTCAGCCCCGTGTTTCTGGTTTGCATAACTGAGCAGGTGTAGGACAGTACATGTACAACACCTGCAGCATCTACCTGGAGATAAATTGATGATCTCTGGCTAGTTAGAGGTTACAGCAGATGAGTTGGGAGGAGCTCTGTACACTGTAACATCACAAAGATGCCACACTCAGCGTGTATAATCAGAACATGACCCCTCAGGCAGCAGTTTTTACCTGAGTGTGCACCTGCAGGTGTGAAACAAGAGATAAACTCCTCTGCAAAGCACTCAGGAATGTGGCAGGTCCTGTGTGTCTCACAAACAATCACAGCTGGTGCCCAAGCACCACAAACTCCACCCTCCTGGGGTACATCTCCCCAGCAGCAATTTGTTTCTTCATTTATTCACGTGGCTTCATTTTTGTTTGCTGAGGCTGCTGATGCCTTTGCTGCTTACCCTGCTAATGCAGGGTGTGAAAAAGCTAAATATACACACACAATTTCCAGTGCCAGAGTCTCTCACTGCCCCGGATCCGAATGGCTGCTGAGGACATCAGACTAATGGTCATTATTTAATGAAATACCTTGGAAATGTCAGGGTACGTCACAGTCACCAGAAACCTGCTTGTTGTATTTCCCCTCCAAATTATCATTATTATGTTCCAGTGAGGCTCCTGGGGAAAAGGTCAGAGCCCAGAGCTCTGGGGAGACCTTACACTGGCAGTGCCCAGCAGGGCCCTATTTTGTGTGTCCCCAGAGCTACAAACACCACTAATGACCATCACATAAAAGACTTTTTCCCCCTTTTCTTCCCTTTTAATATATAAGGAGCAACGCTTCTTCGAGCTGTTTGGGTTTTTAAGCGGTGTTTAACAAGCATAATTCTTGTTTTTATACACCCAAGTTTGCACTCAGCAATCATGTTAGATTGGGAGCAGAGCTAAGAGGTTTTATCTGTCATCACACAGCAGGAGGTTTGCACACACATCACCTCTCCTACCTTAAATCATTTCTCAGCAATTCACACAGGTTTGCAACCAGTGGAAGCAGAACTACCAAAAAGAGCCTTTTTTTTTTCCCTTAAGGAGGGAGCCCTGAGCTGCTCCCACTGTTGCTGAGAGTGGATATCAGGGTTCCTGCACTGCCATCGAGCTCATTCGTCCTTCAGACAAAGCCAGTTCACATTCTGTCTCAATTTCCTTCCAGATAGCACCGAGATTAAGAGAGCTGCCTGATGGATTAGAACTGGCTAAGTTTAATTTAAGAAAGTGCAGAAGTCACGTGGTGATCCCAAAAAGACTGTCAGGAGACTTCAGGAGTTCAGCTGAGCCGTGAGAGCTGAAACCTCTGTGTCTTGTCACCACCAAGAGCACCTGCAGCACAAAACAAGCACCCCCTTCAAGGGGGAAACCAGAAAATAAGTAGCTGGTTGTTACTTCTGCTTCCTCATCAGAGCTAAGGCAGGCACTGGAATCCAGCTGCCTGTGAACTGGCACATCAGTTTTATTGAAAACAAATAATCCACAAGGATGACAACCTTAACACCCTTCTTGTCTTTATTAAATTTGGGCAGGGGGTGCCAGCACTGTTTGCTGAGCTTTAATTATCAGTCAACATCTCCTGTTCTATTACTGTAGTGATGCCAGCTTCTCTCCTGCCAGGTCTGAGCTGTAACCCAAGTTGTGAACTACAGGAGAATATTCTCAAGTTGGGCATAAAACTGACTTTTCCAATAACTCCCCTCTGCTCTGTCTCTACTTAATTTACAGCTCCTACCAAATTTCACCACCACTGCTGCATTCTCACTGTCATTTCCAGTCAAGGGTGAGCTCCAAAATCAAGGACAGGAATTTATGTTTAAAGTCCTTCTATAAATCAAGGGCCAAGAGGGGTGCAATGTGATACCACTGCATGCAGTACTGGCTATGTGAAAAGAACAGTTAATCTTAAAAGTAATCAAAATTAGCCACGTGTAGCAGCACCAAAAGGTAACAAGTTACCTGGTGCAGAGGTTAATGTGCTTTCTCCTTTGTCCAGTTGAATAGGGCTTTTACTTAGCACCCTTTTTTTAAAAAAATACAGCATCTTAAATTCATATTATGAGCCTGTTTCACCATCTGAGCTGTGACTTAAGTGGAGCATCCATGGGAATAACTTTACCCCTGGCCCAGGTTCCTATTCGTGCCTTCCCAAGCCCCCATTTCCACAGATCTCTGCAGGCCAGATCCAAAGCAGGGAGAGGCTGGAGCAGCAGGACCTGCTGCTCTCTAGTGGCACAGCAGCCTCAGACAGGGAAACACCTTCCCTTGGGCTACACATTTGGCTTTGAAAATGGTTCCTTACCTCAAACCTCCCGTTAAATACAAGCACACAGGATTTACCTTCACCATTTTAAGTTTCTGAACTTGTGTAGCTGCCACAAAACACCTCCAGGTGCTTTCACACCGAGCAGGGTTATTCTCTCCCATAAATTTACAAGCCATACACAAAAAGCATCTCTTTAACCCCACGAAAACTGTCAAGCAGCTGCCTAAACCCTAAATCCTCTTGGGCTAATCACGAACTGATTCAGAGCTTTCAAAAGTGTTCACATCTCCCCTTTGGTCCAGTCTATTGAATGTCAGAATTAAGGGTTCCTTCCTCAGAGCAGACTGTTTCTGGGTGTTAAAATATTAACCACTGCTAATTTTAGAAGGGTGTATAAAGCAGGAAGCACAGAGGACACAGGGAAGGTGTGTGGATGCAATTTGAATTTATTTGGCTGATTTTAAAGGTTTTTTTGCTCAGGTTTTTTGCCTTTTGAATTCCTATGTAAGGCTGTGCAGTATATTTTGAAGACTAACTAATAATTTACAAGCAGAACATCTTATTCTCAGGGTCAAATTCTAGCTCTAGTGAAGGGTGGGAGGGAAAAAGCCAATTCCAGCAAATGATGTCACTACATTTGGAACAGAGTCAGAAGGCAGGCAGAGATGAAATCTTTGAACCATGAATTTAGTTCCCAAAGTTCTGACACTCTCAGTTACGAAATTATTCAGCCCAGACTCAGTATCTGAGTCAATAACCTCTGCAGGAATGAACACTGAGCTCCTGGCAGAAGCTTTTCATTAGTTATAAATTCGCCTGCCATTCATTCCTGCCTGCCTGCAATTCTACTCCCACTTCTTCCCAGTTAGATAGGAGCAAACAATGACACTTACTAGATTATTCTTGGAAAAAAAAAAAAAGAAAAAAACCTTATATTTCTGGGCCTCTCATCAGTTTGCCTCGGGCTAAACTGCACAATGACACCTTTGTAAAGTTATAATAAAAAAAGCACATATTAAGTGTGTGGAGGGGGGAAAAAAAACCCCCAGTAAGCGGAAGCTCAGTGAGGCATAAGATAAATGTCTTTTTTAATACATTGGAATCTGGCAATTACCTCACACTTCAGTGTTCCTGATGTGAATAACATCTAATAATTACATTTAGGGCACAGAGCTTATTTAAGGGGTTGACTTGGAACTAAAATTACCAATGGGCTTTATAATTAGGCGTAGTTACAATGGCACTGAGAGCAGTGGGATGACTTCCAATGGCTCAGTGCAATGATTAAAGAGTAAAACTTTGTATTTAAATTGTACCAAGAAGGCAGGAAACCTCTTCCCATCTTTTTAGGGCAGAGCCTGAGGACCTGTTGATCCTCCTTTTCATTCACTGCAACTTAAACTGCCTCCAAAGAGAGTGATCCTAAGCTTCATTCCTGACCTAAGAGATGCAACTGGACCTGTTGCATCTCTGATCTTTCCAAAAGGATGTGAAATTGTCTCCAGAGTCACCTCAGTGTGTTTATTCATCATCCCTTGGTTTAAGCAGCTCATGAGCTTCAAGCCTTTGCTTAGACCACTGCAGAAGTTACCATTTAAATCCCAGGGAGAGTTTGCAGATGGTGAATTAAGATTTCATCTCTAGCCCAGCACAGGTGATTAACACTTTTACCAGCTTTTACCTGATTAAACTGGGGCACAGAGGGGAGAGAGATTTATCTGTGCTCAGATTTGGTTTCTGCACAGTTAGAGCTCAAAAAGGACTTTCAGATAATCCTTGAATGTTGCAAAACTTCCACCAACTTGCAGTGAAGTTTTCACTTCCACACCAGGCAGCTCTTTTGGGATTGCCCTGGTTTTGCCAACAAACTTTATCCCATCTGAAAGCAAGACAGGAATAAGACTAATTGCTAATGCACCTTTCACAAGGTGCTTGTGCTCAGTGGAATAAAGTGTTTTCCAAGAGTTATTATTCCATTTGCCAAGCTTACATGGACAGACAAATCAAATATACAAAGAGATGTATGCCTGAGACATGAAAATACATCTTCCAACAGCTCAGATCCGAATGATCTGCCCATTTAATCTCAATACAAAGCACCTAATAAGGAGGCAGGAGCCCAGACAGATGGATGAACAGGCTGAGTCTCTCCCCCTCAAGAAGTGAGGATTCAACAGCATCTGCTCCAGACATCCAGAAGGCTCCTGTCACACAAATAAAAATAATCATCATCTGTCAGTCTCAAATCACTTCAGCAAGAATTCATGAGGAGTGGATGTTGTCAGCTCTGGGAAAGCCAGTCCTGCTCCAGAGGAGAGAAAATACAGCCCAGCCTTGTGAACTCAGCGCTGCCCTGAGCAGGACATCTCCATCCCCTGTCACTGCTGGCTGGGCTTTCCCACATCCAGCTCCAAGGCAAGTGCAGGAATTAGGTATTTACTGAAGCTGAGCATGGCAGGGACACACTTTCTCAGCAGGTGCTTACACAAGGCATTTTCTCAAATGAACCCATGCCAGAAACTTCAGAGCAAAACTAAAGAAACACACAAATTTCCTTTCTCAGAGGACTTTAAAAAAAAAAAAAAAAAAAAAAAAAACACCTCCACTTCTAATAAGAGAATCAACAGAAAGCGAAAACAAATGAAAAATGAAGAGGTAAAATTAGATCACAGCGTTGCAGTGTTCCCTCTGTCTGGAACAAAGGGCCCAGAGAGGGCACAGCAGTTGTTTTTCAGGTGAGCAGGGGCTGAGTCAGTGCTTCCCACTCTCCTTCCCAGCACCAAGCTGACCTCAGCCTTATCAAGGACCTGGAAGCAGCACAGGCTCCGTTTCAGAGGGAGCTGCTCTGAGCTGTGACAGCAGCGGATGTGACACTGATCTGTCTCCAATTTAGGTTGGTTATTCAAGTGTGACCTGCTTGTTTGGGGCCAGCACTGAAAGCAGAGGTTTGAGGCACAGCTCTCTGGTTCAGTCTCTGCCCTAGGTCTCTGTGCAGTGCAGGAAATTATGTTTATCTCCCAGGTAAAGAATTTCAGGGATCCAGAACAAAACTAAACCTGAGTTAGAGTAGGAAGGGGGCCAAGATGCATTATTTCACTCAAAGAGGCCACTAATGAGCTAAAAGATGTGAACTTCAAATTTAGTTAACGACCACAGGCTCTTATGAACTCACATTCTTGAGATGCCTCCAGTTTTCTGACCAATTCCATCTGCCTTGAGGGGTACTGACCACTTGGCTTATTTTTGAGTATAATAGAGCAACTAACATTCATATAAATCAAATTTTACTATAGACTAATGTTTATAATATGCACAGCCTTATTTCACCTGTAGATCACTATCCAAGGATGAGTATTTTATAAAACTGACCCACATAACATAGTAATGCTTTCTTCTGTATAGCACTGACACCAACCCCAGCAGAAAAATCCTCCACATTTACTGCAGTTTCCTTCACAACTACAAAGAAGTTGCTACCGTTCCATACACTCTCACATAAAATAACCCCATAATTTACAATTACAGCCTGTTTAATACCCACTGTTGCACACCCTCTACTCACACTCCCCTTGTGGTGGCCGATCCTTTCTTTTGAGCTAAAACTGCCGAAGTTTTCACAGGCAAACAGCTCAGTAAAATTTACATTTCAAACCAGCCAGGACGAAATGCAAGGTGGTGGCGCAGGACTTACAGGGTTAAACACACAGCAGGGAACAGGGACAGTCTTCCTTGGCTCTTTTCCTCGGGGAAACCTCTAACACAGAGCACTGGATTCATCTCATCCCCCCTGGGAGCTGCGCTGGTGTCCGAGGGAGGGAGGGCACACCCTGCGTGGACTCCACGTGTGGACAGAAAAAAAAAGAGGGAGGGGGGAAGTGGAACAGGGAGGATCAGCAGATCATGGGAAATCCTGCCCAATAAAGGGTGGGAATCAGGCAGGAGGTTCCATGACTCCCTTCCCACCAGTATCCCAAGAGCAGTTCCAAAGCCAGAGGCTGTGACGAACCAAGCCCACATTTATAACAACATCCCCCATCCATCTGAAGCCGCAGGACATTCAGAGCTTGCCCTGGCCCTTCAGCAGGCACAGAAAGCAGCTGGAAGCACCAACTGCTCCTGCAGCAGCTGCCACGAGGACCAGAAGGGCCCAGCAGCTGGTCAGGAGGGTCCCAGCCCCCCCAGGAATATCCTGATGATGATGATGGAAGCCTTCCCCACATGGTGCTGCCTCTAAGAGATGCCACTGCTGTGCAGCAACTATTTTTAGGACAGAAGACAAAGGAACTTGAAAGAAGATCATCTTACAGAGAGAACATTAAAAGACACAACTTTTAAGAAGAGACTGCTAATTCCACACATCCTTTTTTCACTCTGGAAAGGATCAGCAGCCTGAGTGGATGTGTAAAACACGTTTGAAGGGGTTTCTCCCAAGAATTACCAGCAGGAATGCAGCAGGAATTTGGCTCATACACGAGTTTCTTCACTCTGAGGTGCTGCTTATGAAAGCACACACCAGGAGTGGACTGAACTGAGCGTGGAACAGCAGCTGTCAGTGATCCAAGGAGCAAAGCTGCACGTGAGAGGTGAACTGATCCTCACCGGGACTGAGTTAGTCACTCCCAGCTCAAGGAAAGGCAAATGACAAGAACACAAAGAGCTTCAATTTTCCAGCAGAACACTCAAGGCTCACATTTCCCTAGGCTCACATCACTTCTTTAAAGCAGGAGTTGATGATCCACCTCCAGACACTTGAATGAGTTCAGCAGTTCAGCCAAACTCACGGAAATTGCCACACCTTACCCTCTATTTCTGAGTCATTAGCAGAGCCTTCCCAGCTCCCTCTCCCTTAAAACCCGCTGAGATACAATTCCGAGTCACTGAACTGACACCCACGCAGGGATAAACTTCTTAGGAGAGTTTGCAGCACCTTTTCCTTCTCTAGGATCCTTCAGGGAGGGTGGGGGGGATCTTTCAAAGACTGAAGTCACAGGATGTGATTCAGAAATCACTGCAAGCACAACCAAACCTCCCGTGGACCGGATGAGAACGACTAGAACACCTCTGGAAGTGCAGGGGGAGGCAGGGACAGGAACACAGTCTGAAGTAAAAGAGATCAGTGGTTATTGCCCCCAAATACTGGAACTTTAAAGGAAAAGTTATCTTTCTCTAGTTATACCATCCGTTTGTTTTTAAATAATTAATGGTTCATATATTGCTTTAAAAGTTCTTTAAATATTAAAAACAAAGCCTTACAAATTTACAGGCCCTACTATCCCTCTGAAAGATCCACTGGCACCGAATGAAGTTGTATTACACCGTTCATTTTTCATCTCAGACATCTTCCCAGCCATATGCAGCGTGACACAGTTAAGCTTAAATGCTCGAAATTCCCTTTTTTTTCTTTTTTTTTTTTTTTCTCTTTTTCAACTGCAGCTCTCCCAGTTTGAGCTTCATTAAGTCAGGCAGTCCCTCAGGCTTTTTTCCACCACATTAGACATGAGCTGGAATAGCTGCTGGGGCAGTGAACACTGCCATCATGTGTGTCAGCAGCACACAGTCATACATGGGCTTTACCAGGGATCAGCTCAGACTTGCTTAAGACATCTCGGGCCTTCCCTCCTCAGATGTTGCCATAGAAACCTCAAATTATGTCTATAGGGGAACAAAAAAAGGTTTCCTAAAGGTATGGATGAAGTAGCTCCATGGAAACGAGCCCTGCCTGTCAGAGGAAATGAAGGAAGGGGGTTTGTGTGGGAAGACACGTCATCTAAATATGCAAAGCAGGAGCCAGGCAAGCTGTCCTTCAGTGTCTGCCTAATCCATGGCATTGGCACTCTGGGGCATAATAATTCCTGGCACACTGGAGATGAGGTGTTGGTCAGTGATTCCACAGGCCCTGGAGATGTGCAACCATCTGCCCACATGGCTAGAACACACCTTGTACTGCCACTAAACCCAGGAGCCAGCCCAGCCTGGCTCAAATTAAATGGGATCCAAGCTGAGAAAGGTTAGGAGAAGTCTGTAAATTCACACACACCCCTCTGTTTTCAGCCTTACAAACCCACCAGCCTGCCCTGAAAAGAAAATGGGAACACTTGTGGTAAATTTTCGCCCCACTTGTCCACAGATATCCAGCTCTTCTGAAAAAGATGCTGCTTGTTCTTTGAAGCAACATTGGGAGTGCAGGCTCTGAAAGCAACAGCAAGAAGAAACCTTCTGGAAATTCCCACTTGCTGCATAAAACAGAAGATTAAACCACAGCAATGCATATTATTGTTGGAGTGTGCTGCAGTCACTGAGGCTGAGAGTCAGCCACCCTCAGCATCTCGGGCTGATGCTGTTACCCCTGAGCTCCCCCAATAGTTC